GTGGCGATGGTTCCTGGCGTATGCTATCGGTGTAATCAACCTGGTCACTTTGCGAATGGATGTCCAACCCTTGAAGTGTTATGCATGTGGAGAAATTGGGGGCATATGGCAAGTGCGTGTACCTGATCCCGGAAGCCAAAAAAGCGTAACGAGGCGTACTTGTAGACACGCATACCCAAAGAACAGTCAGCGGAAAAACTAGAGACGGACGTGGTAGGGGGAATACGACGTCCAGCAACAGAAGGAAATCCCCGACAGATGACGAGAGACGCCATGCTACTTGGTACAGCAAATGAGGTAGCGGTACGGACGCCTAAGAATGTTAGGACGCCAACATACCAAAGTGGGTCAGTAAACATTTGAGAGTCAGCGCGTACAGGGGATCGAGGAAGTACGAGTGGCAGCGTGGGCGCAGTAGCACAAACGACAGCGGAACGCGAAGAGAACCAGACTAAGAGAGTGGATGCAATGTTGGAACAATGGCGAGACGGGGGCTGCGGAGCGAGATGGTGCGAGGGCTGCTATCTACGTGTCGACAGTGAGACCAGCGATGGCCTCGGCACGATACAAATACGCTGCATCTGCGGATCAACAACAGAACGAGGGCTGTGGACTCGACGGCAAGCGTCAAACTGGGGAAGGCGCGTATTTATCAGCACCACAGTCGGAAACCAACGATGGCGAGGTGAAGAGTATCGGAGAGCTGTCGGTGAGCACGGTCGTGAGAAGAGAAACGATGGCTGAGGCGGAGGACACGACGAGAGCTGCGAGGGACAACGGCACGAGTACCGCGGAGAAGGTAGACGCACAGCTAAGCGATGGTATTGCACAAATACGTCTTACACGTCGAAGAGAACGGAAACAAGCTAAACGCAAGAAAATGATGAACGTGCGAGCACGACAGCGTAGTGCCGAGCAGCAAGATGCAGAAGAAATACAGCGTGTTACCGTCGAGCAGTTGACCAAGCGACAACGAGTTGCAGAAGTCGCTTTAAACGAAGTCGTGGGGCGGAAGCAGCAGCTAAATGAGAGAAAGACAGCGAGCGCGCTGAGAACCGCTAGAGTGAGTCTAGTACAACGGCAAAAACGTGCGGAGTGTGACGAGGAGTTGGCCAGTACGGACAATGAGGTGTAGTACGTGGAAGCAAACGACGGATTACCGACAGCTACGATGACAGTGGCAGGAGCTCGAAAGTGTATCAAGTTGGACAGTTGTGCAAGATTCGCCATTGCAGGGACACAATGGATGCAGTATGGCGACAAATTGGTAGACAAAGCACCCGTTGACTATGTGGAGGGCATTGGTGGCTTTCTCTTGGATGTCATCGGAGTCTGGCGATTTAAGATGAGCAGCGCCTTTGGCGAGAAGGTCACAGTAGACGCGTGTATTGTGTCGGGTTGTGTGGAGGAATTCCTCCTTGGTGTCGACTTTATGAAGAAGTACGGTGCGGTCATGGACTTCGAGAACAGTGAGCTACGCTATCGAGATGAAGAGCAATCCGTGATCATCCCGTTCAGGACCTATGACGATATCGGTGGAGCACGTGTGGCAATCGTATGAATGGCACGAAAGACGCAGATCGAAAATAGTTCGGTAACGCCGGTTGAAGTGGCGGTGTCCGCAAAAGACGGCGAGCAGGGCATCTTCATTCCGACGGTATACGCAGGATCGGTGTTGTTGGCGGCAACAGTAACGACGGTGTGCAGTGGACGTGCGTGGGTTCCAGCTGTTAATACGAATACGAAGCCGACGAGACTGCCGAGCAAGAAGCAGTTGGGCACGTGGATACCCATCAGTAGCGAGATGACAATACTAGCGATGGACGGTGCACTGGATGCGAAAAAGATGAGTGCGTGGCTCGACGAGATGGGAGACACGGAGACACCTTTGGTGG